CATCTGTCAATAAACAAGTAGCAAAAAGAGCAAAGCGTCAATTAAATGCACATTTTGTTCCATCTTCTATTTCTTCAGTATAATAAATCTTTTAATATTCTCTTATGTACAAATAAAGATACTACAAGTCTGAAAAACTCATGTAAAAGTAAAAAAATAGTCCCTCAGTGTGTACATATTATGTATGAAGAGCAAGTTTTGCACATATTTGTACATTTATATTATTAGATAGATTCTCTATGTATTATCATATCATGTTATGTCTGAATAGGATATAAACAGCAACAGCAGAAATAAATCATTTGTTCACACTTAGACCTTCTCCTGTAAAGATGTATTTTACTGCTATTTAACCAGGGATGTCTTCAGTACAAAGTCTCTTTCAAAATTCAGAAAATGCAACACTAATGGAAATACTAGACAACAGAAAAGACCATGTGCAGCACGTGCAGGTGATGCAACAGGCACAAGGTAGCCAGTAGAAGCAAGAAAACAGAAATAAATACACACAGAAGAGGTGTATTTAGTGTCTGATGATGGACAAATGACAGACGCCTGAAAGGCAGAATGCAAACAATGTCAGGGAGGAATTCATGCAAGAAAAAGACGACACAAATCAAACTGATCGAAGCAGCTCAAAGAACCTAGAAATCAAGTTGAGACTATTTTACTTCGGTTGTCAATTGGTGGCTTGTGAATGCTGAAAGCTCTGTAAACACACAATGCTCACGACGGCTAACGCTAGGCTAGCGTAGCATTAATGCATGATGTGAACAAGCTGCTGCTAATAGCGCTAGCAGCTAGCACTGACTCATAATACAACACTGTATGTACATGCAGCAGATTTTTTTTTTTTTTTTAAATAATAGAGTCTATGTCACTTTAATCTGCTTTATTTTTCTTGTATCCAATTTGGTATTGAGAATTGTGGAAGTTTAGTTGTATTGCATTTAAAGTTGCAACTATTTAAGCAAATATTTGTCTATTGATTAATCTATTAATCGTTTTGCCTGTTACATTTTGACTATTATTTTTTATTTAGTAGCTACACTAAACAATTAGTTTTCCTTCAACAAAGCTAAGTTATTATGTATTTTTATTATGTAACACTTCGTAGAGATTTAGAGAAGTGAAGCGTAGGGTAGCCAACCAATTCACTGCAACCAAAATGACATGATGCAATAATTACAGACGTAAGTTAGAAGAAAAAAAACATTTTCTCACAAACTAAAAAAACCTATGCCTGCTTAAAATATCATGCTGACACATTTGCAACAGCAGCATCATTGATTATGTCGACTAATCGCAGCAGCCTGAACTGTCATAACCACGTAACTACTATTGTCACATCAGTAATTGCAAATTCAATACAAATCAATGGGCTACATTCATGACCTTTATCTCTACAGCAGCTTCCGCAATGCAACAAGGACTTATAGCTGTTTGCAAATACATTAATAAACACTTCAGCTTCATTATAGTTTGTTGTAAACCAGCTATTGTATCTTCATATACCGACTGTACATGTCAAGTTGAGTGTCATCCAGTTTTGTACTGGACACATACCTGGATGACAAGAGGCCATTGCTGTGACAGACACTTGAAGACAGCTATGTTAGTTATTTCACGTATGAAAAGGGCTACACTGAAGGCTCCACAGAAGAAATGACAAATCTAACACGTGGTTAGAAGTGAACATTTCCATAGTCGCTCCTTAAGGCTTCACTTATATCCTCTGTTCCTCTAAACCCCTCTGGCTTTACAGATAGCTCAGTGGTGAGATCTTAAGATTCGGCATCAATTCCAACTTCAAATTCCTGCCAGCATCTACCAACGCCGCTTTAATAACGAGGAACCATCTATTTTCTCCATCAATCATAAACGCTACCTTCCTGCGGTGGCACACCAAAGGCATCAAGTGCTTTCAAGATCAATATAAAGATCGTGTCTTTTGTAGTTACATGGAGGCATCTGCTGAATTATTGCTACCAGCATCCCACAGATTCTGCTATTTTCAGGTCTGTCATCGTTTTGTTTCTCTGCATTAAAGACCCCCTGCAGTGAAAATCATGTTTTTATCTTGTCAACGTGTCCATACGGTGATCTTTTATTTGCTTTAAGAACAATCGTGAGTGAAATAAGCAGAGGACAGGTGTGATAGATGCCCATGCTTCCTCATGCAAGACAAATCGCATTTTTCATTCATACTCAATGTCAGAACATTGTTTTGCATTTTGAGACTATGTCCAGAATATTCAAAGCTGAAATCAGAGCAAGAACTGCCCTTTTGCTGCAATATTCAGGAAAGCAAAGGACCTAATTTACCTCCAAACAGATATTATAGCATTCATATCATTATTATAGGGCTGCATGGTGGCTTGGTGGTTGGCATTGTTGCCTCGCAGCAAGAAGGTCGCTGGCAGGTGGGGACACCAGGATCCCTCTTCGTGGAGTTTGCATGTTCTCCCTGTGCAGCGTGGGTACTCTCTGGGTTCTCCAGCTTCCTCACACAAGCCAAAAAACATGTTGAGGTTAACTGATGATTCTAAATTGTCTGTAGGTGTGAACGTGAGTGTGCTTGGTTGTCTGTCTCTAAGTGTAGCCCTGCCTGTCCAGAGTGTCCCCTGCCTTCGCCCTAAGTCAGCTGGGATAGGCTCCAGCCCCCCTGCAACCCTATGGGAGGATTAAGCAGCGTATAGATAATGGATGGATGGCTGGATCATTATTATAATCACACCTTCTTCTACTTCACTGGAAATAAATGTGAGCTCCAGCAATGTACAAGTGGCCTTTGGAAAATTTAATTAAAATTAACAAAATGGACAAAATGACGCCATTTGTTAGACCCATAAACTATATTTAAAAAAAAGAATAACTGTTGTTTTTTTTTTCATCTTCTGATTGTCATTAATCATCTGTGATGTGTAGTTCTGCTGGGAAAAGTACCCAAATCTAAACATAAAATGAAGATATTTAATCAAAATCCCTTTAATTTACATGTGTTGGTTTTTTTTTTGTACTAAACAGATGCACTCAAAAAAATATTTGCTCCTCAGCACAACCAAGCAGTCGTGACTGGGACCAACAGTCACATGACAAAAGTTCTTTTTGGCTCAACTACTGACTGTGTTTGCAAGTATGGGAACAAATTAAAGAGACTGAGCGCAAAATACATCATATTAACATGGTTCAAAAACTATACAGAACAGCAAGTTGTCAGCAAGTTGTTGGATGATTCAGCATGGTGAAATAACTTTTCAGAGTTCACATGCAGAGTAGTGTGGGAAGCAGATTTTGTAGAGGCTGTAAAAATGTAAATAATAACATATCTAAATAATATTTTGAACAAATTTTGAACTGTGATATGACGAGATCTCAAAAACATCTGTCCTCTGTAAAGAAATCAAAAAGGTAACATACCTGAGTGGACATACAGGTTAAAAGAAGCTTGTTTCTGCTCTTTAACCGTAGTTTTCACAATGGCGCCTATTTCATTTGTAAAGCATTTAATAACTATGATCCATGCTTTTTTCTGTGACCCTCTCTGTGCAGATCAAAGAAACAAAACGTCACACGACGCTGTTTCAGCATCTCAGCACTGTTCCATTTGATGAACTCTGTTAAGGCTATGAATCAGTCAGGCTGGAAAAAAAGTAGAATTTCACTCATTATCGATAAGTCTGTCATGCTTCTGAATAATCGATGGATTGGTTAGTCTGTAAAATGTCAGAAATTACAGGCAAAAAATGCTTTCTAACTACACACAATGGCATTTTCAAATCACTTGTTAGTCATAAATAAACAAACTAAAAGATGTCCACTTTACAATGACATAAAATAGGAAAAAAATCTGCAAATTGACACATTTGTCTGGCTGGAACCAGAAAATCTCTTTTGGTTAACATCCACAGCAGCTGCCCCTGCTGGGTTTTCATATTTTCATATTTTGTAAAACTTATTTAAACTTTCTTTTCTGACACCTATATTTGGATTATTCCTGGGGACTTTTTGAGCTGTGGGGGACTGCTCTATTTTTTTTTTTCCCACCACGTTGTTAGCACTTTCGTTCAGCGGCGCTGCAGTTGCATGGCAACCAGAACAACAACGGACATCGGCAAAGAAATCAGAGGAAGGGTTGTGCAGGAGGAGGAGACAACAAAGCAGAGGCATGAGCCATACGTTCCTTCTATTATAATGGACATTGTGAGATCTCTTAACAAAGAGACAGATGAGCTAACAGCCGATGGGAGGGCGGTGAATGTACTGTTGGGTGTTTCACAGAGATACAGCTGTATGAATTACTCCAAACTGAATCATTACCATGGATGGCTTTCAGATGGTTCTGGCTGATAGGAATGGATCACAGATTAGCAACAACGTTAACCAAGGGTGGATGCATCATGGTGAAGGAACATTTTTGGAGCCCATATATGTGGCTACACAGGATGTGCCATCTTGGCTGGCTGTCTTGTGGCTGATAATTGTCTTTTGTCCCTATTATGGGCATCTGTATTTTTATTGACTGATTACTGATAAATGCAATGCGCTACTTCAGGTCAGATGCAGCCTCCTCTCTCTGTCTGTAGTCACTGCACTGCAAAAACTGACCAAGAAACGAAACCCAGGAAATTAGCTGCTCTCACAGTGACTAAAGCTATGCTTACGGCAAGGAGCTAAGTTAGAAGGTCGCCACAAATGAATAATAATTAATAATGCTTTAAGATCTGGACCTTAGTGAGCAATAAAAGTGATGCCAAAATAAGAAATATTAGGAAAATAGAGAAGAACAGGAGACAAACTGAGAGTGTCCTCATGTAACCATTCCTATTTCAATTTTACATATTCAGGTATAGTCACCTTAATAATGCAGAACCTAGTAATGAATGACAGTTCTCTGTTAAAATATTTCACAGAACGTATATCTGTTCCCAATATCGGTTATCGACCTTCCACGATCACCAATAATCGTTAAAGCAAACAGACACTTGTATTTTTCTCACCTGTCAGAGAGCTTTTTAGCGAAGCCAAAGTCAGTCAGACGGATGTGCCCTTCACTGTCCAGCAGGATGTTCTCTGGCTTCAAGTCTCGGTACACGATTTCTTTGGAGTGGAGGTACTCGATGGCGCATACGATCTCTGAGGTATAGAAGAGGCCCGTTGCGTTGCTGAAGCGTCCACGGCTGCGGAGGTAGCTGAACAGCTCGCCGCCCGGTACGTAGTCCATCAGCATGTACAGGAAACGCTCATCGTGGTGGGTCCAGAACCTGCCATCAAAAAAACACAAAGGAGACACAGGTTCAACATGTGGTCGATTCATCGTTAATAAAGGTTTTTGTGGAGCTAAACGCAACCTCTTCAGTCCACATCTCTACATGTCCTTTGGAGGGTAAAACTGTTAAAGTGCTGTCTGACGAGTTGGGGAAATCAGATAAAATGAGAAGCAGTATCAGTCTCAGATTCCTTTATCCCCCAGTGTGGTTTGGAGGAGCGTGCAGCAACTATTTCAGCTGGAAGGGCACTTCAGAGGAATAAAAACAAGAGAGAACTGTCACTGATGAAGATGGAGGAGGCTCCAGTGTTTTCCATAAGTGCTGGCTGCTGGCCACAGACGATTACCGACTCTTTCCTGCACTGCTGTTTCAGCTCCATGCTTCCCTTTCCTTTGTTTTTTTTTTTTTTTACAGTTCTACTTATCTCGATTTGCAATCAGCTTATTTCCAAACATACAGCAAATATGGTACTCAGATGTTATGTACTACCAAATAACTATCAGATAGCAAGCCAGCAGATACTATCGCAGATATACTTTGTACAGACCATAAATGTCAAAGATGTGTTTGAGGTCATTTAGCGTTTTCTCACATTGTGTGTCACTTAGAGAGTGTTGATGAATTGATTTTTATACTGCAACCCACCTGAACTTGAGATACTTCTTCAAAATCACATCATTCTACATATCTTATTTAAAATTGCCTGAAATAAACTACTAACTGCATTCAGTAAAAAATTAAAAATAGTTGGTGGAGCCACCAATTAATTTTTGCAACATTAGTAGTCACAGACATAAAACTTTAATTTTTTTGATTTACAGCATTACAACTTTGTTATACTGCACAACACAGCTTTTTTTTCTTGCTTCTCTCCACTTTTAATCCTGCTTTTGCTGTTGCATTTGAGGTGCAGGATTTTATACTGCAGTAAACAATCAGCTCACAGTGGGGAAAAATGTGACAGGACTCAGTTCCATGTTTCTTACTTGTGCCAGTAAAAGTCTCAAAAATCCTAATCTGCTATTGATTATGTGCACATTTCATCATTTTTATTTCTGCTGCAACAGTCCTGGCACTGCTCAACGCTTCTCAAATGTCCGTCAGTCAATCACACATCTTAGAAGATGACCTAAATTCAATATTTGGAAAACACACAAACCACAAAAATAAGAACTGGGAAGCAACACTCGGTCCCTAGAAACACAACTAACACCTCCTCAACTCAGGATTTGTGGCTGTTGCTGCTGTTAGATAAAAGTAAGAACAGCAATATAGGAATGATTCAGTTTGTGTTTAGCAAAGCCTTCAACACAACAAATGCTGCACATAATTAACCATTTTTTGCTTTATTTAACATCATTTTTCAGCTTGATTTAACACATTTATTGGAGTCTAACCCCTCATAAAATCCTATTATACACAGATCAGCCACAATAATAAAACTATCTGCCTTAATTTGTGAAGTAGCATCCACATGAATGCCAGGATCAATAGTTTCCCAACAGATCACTGCATTGTTATTCCCTTCACCTGTCAGTACTTTTATATTTTGGCTGACTGATGTACTGTGTATGACTTTCTCACAGTCCTTACCTAATGACAAGGAGTGTGAGCCAACAATTGTACTGTTTTAACACAAGGCCGATTCGAAGCGAACAGCTCACCTCACGCTGCTCTTTTAATCTATAATTAACCGATTATAATTTCTTTACAAATACCGCTTAAAAACAACGATTACTTCATGAGGCAGCACAAGTCTATTTAACTCCTGTTGTGTTTTGAAATGTATAAAGTGAGAAGGAAGCTTGTAATTTTAGACATTGTTTGATGTATATGAAACATACATCAGATTTAGATACAGCAAAGCATAACAGGGACAGGCTTTGGGGAAATGTTTTTTTTTATATTAGGCAAAAGGAAGAAATCTGCACAGGGACTGCTTCTCACTTAAGAATGCGCTTGGGAGATCAGTATTTTATTGCACTCAATAAAGTTCGATGTGACTCCTCTGTATCACCCTGCTGATTTCACTCAAACCGTCTCCTCCTTCAAACTGCAAATTATATTGGATTTGTATCAGCAGGGAACCTTTTGTGGTATGGACATCCCCATCAGAACAGGGGCCTCATTTGTAAGTGCGTAGAAAAGGTTCTAAATTCTGTCGCACGCTTGAAATTTAGGGTGTGCGCAAGTACAAAAAAATCTGCATGCGTACGGGGTCGTATGTACATCAGTGTTGATAAATCCCATTTGTTCTTAACCTCCGTGCTCGTGCATGTTGCCTTCAGAAATGCCTCCAAATCACCTTATACGGCAACAACATGCCTCTTTATAAAGCAAGTGAAGATTTATTTTTCCCTCACCTGCTGTCATCATCGTGGCAAAAAGGGCGAAAAAGAGGAATTTTTCTGAAACTAAGATGGAGGTACTTGTCAGTGAGGTTGAAGCAAACCAGAAAATATTGTTTGGTGCTTGAAATGTTGGGAAAAGCAGCGAAAGAAAAAATACTGCATGGGACAAGATAACCACTGCAGTTATTTCTGTTGGGTCAGAGGAGAGATCGCTGGAAAAAAATTTAAAAAGTGGTTTAACATTAAACTCAGTGCCAAAAAATGTATCACAGCCAATAAAAGAGAAATGACTGCAACTGGAGGAGGACGAATTAATACCGAACTTTCACCCCGTGGATAACCCTGATCACTACAGATGAGATTTTTTTAATAATTATACTAAGTCCAGCAAAAACATTCCACACTGTGTAACACACACCAATAAGCCAGCCATCTTCAACAGCTCCTGCTTGGAGATGCACAGAACTGTTATGCTCAAGGAATGAGTCGTGTGTACCTCCAGGCCACCGGGCAACAACGTTGGATAGCGACAAATGTGCATCGCAAGTTATTTGTTAGTTGATTGAATGAAACCCTTTTCTATTTACAAAATTAAATTCATTAGTGATGGTGCTTTGATTGCTATGTGGGTGCAGTCTATGGCTCCACTTATGTTTGGGAATCCAGCGATGGTCCCTGTTTGATTTGGGCTCGTTAGTGATGGCTGTAAGGGAACTTGACGTAGGCTGAGGCCAGGGAACTTATGGCATCCAACACTGCCAGCTTGATTCTGCTCAGTGGTGGCTGGAAATGCCGCATACGTCTCCAACCTCATGCTGGAATGTGTCTGTGGTCAAAATCCCTGAATGCTTTCTATTTCTAGTTTCACTATTCTACCGCTAGATTATGTGTGTACGCATGGTCAGAGTTGTGAGTATATTTATGCACATTCCTAAATATAAGTACAAGTTGATAAATTCCATACTTTGCGTAGGAATGTTCGTGCGCACGATCTACGCACATATCTGTGTGTACGCACTGATGACAAATGAGGCCCCAGGTCTGGAATGTGTTTTTGTGTATAATATCTAGTGTGACAATGGAGTAAAGGTGAATACCTAGATAAAGAAACACAGGAGGTGCTTTAAAGGAATAGTTTAACATTTTAGGAAACAGTCGTGATGCTGTTAGCTGAGCATAAGGTCAAGAAGTATATGTCAATGGCTAGAATGGTGTAATCCACAGTTAAAAACACAAACACCTGTAAAGTGTGTTTAACTAATAAGTACGCAAACAGAAAACCTGCGTTTGAGGTTGCAGAGGGTGTTATGTGCTCAAACTATTTCCTGATAAACAACAGCTGGGAATAGTGACTGTGTGTCTGAGACTAAAAACAAAACCTGTGTTCACTGACTGAACCCATTTCTGCAGGAGACGCTGCACAGAAGCGCTGGGTGGGTGGATACGTTAGAAAAAAACAAAACAAAACAAAAAAACCTTGTAAACCACGGAGAGTCCTCTTTACATAAACTAAACAAACATGATCCAACATGTAAATTTAGCTTGAGAGGTGATGGCAGGTCAGAAGAGCCAACCCTGCTTTCAGTCTTTCTGCTGAGGTAGACTGATCACAACTTGGTTCTAGCTCCATGTTAAAGTCCCAAGATGAGGAATTATTACTTTAAAATGTGCACAATGATTGTCCTCTTTGTGACTGACAAATTAAGTGGACTAAATGGCTGAGCTATTAAGAAATTATGGTCAAGGAATAAAGTCATACATTCACTTTTACACCATCTTCTGCTACATATAATTACATATATGTATCTTATACTGGAAAATATAAACCTCTTTTACCAAACTGTACAATTTACTTTTACTTATAGCTCATTAGACATTCCTTTAACTGGAGTGACTATAAAGTGGCTGATATGCAGGAACATCTTTGTATGCTTGTCATATACTTAACTGACAGATTTCTGTAAGGTTTGCTGGTACTAATGTTTAAAGTCTCTTTACCTCTTTTACCTGGACTAAATTGTCGTAAATCTCGTTTTGGCCTGATGATGATTAGCAACAACGATTTGATCATCATACAAGAGCCATTGGATCTTCACCTTCTCAACTCTCCTGAAACTAACCATCTGTGACAAGCTGTTTTATTGGAAAACTTAGCAAAACCTAAGCGTAAAATCATGATATTTAATCAGAATCACTTTATTCTGCAGGCTGCATTTAAAATGTACCAAAAACAAATCATTTACACACGCCAGATTCTTTGAAAAACAAAGAATTATACGCTCACTGTAGCTGAGAAACCATTAGTGCCTCAACTGCAACCAACAGTTCCAAGGCAAAAAACAAAAAACCAGGAACTTTTTGGCTGTGTTAAACAGCAAGTTTAGCAAATTTGAACAATAAGTCATAAAATAAGTAATATGTAGAATCACCGTATTTTCCAGTACTGAGAACATTTGTGGGCTCTTGGGATTTTTTTTCTCCGTTTTGGTTGTGCTGTTTCCATTGAGGTGCAGGTCTTACCGCAGTGAAAGATCTGCCCACATGGATTCAAAAACACCCACAAACTCTTTGGAGTAGAGAGGATTAATTAGATGTTTCGGCGTCATTAAATATGGCATCTTATTTAAATTTCATCCAGACAAAGACATGATGATTTCTCATCAAGTGTTTTTTTTTTTTTTTTACCCTGTGGAGCATCACACTACTTCATTCATACCTAATTGAATTCGCACCAATGAGACAAGTAACTAGTGTACGTCATAAATTCTTCTAAATTGCTTGTTCCTGTCACATAAGAACTAATCTGTCCATATGACCAGATCTTGCAAGACACCAATTGTATACCTCCATAATGTACTGCCCTGAACTCAGCAGTTTGAATTGGGTTCACTCATCATTGTCTGTCCAAGTGGTTGATTATCTCATTAGTCCTTGGTGACATAGTGTGTGTGGTATTGTGATGACACTTTTTCACGTCGTGTTGATTTAATCGATACCTCATGAGGCTCGGCCCCGAAGATGAACACATCAGATTTACTCTTAATTGGAATCAGTGTGTGAGGATTCGCTGCTGAGACTCAACTTTGACTTTCTTCATGTGTAATGTTTGCCCAGTGGACCGTGACCTCTTCCTCCCCCCGGTGTGGTTGTGGGTGAGACTCACAGTCGGATGAGGAAGGGGTGGTTGACCTCTGTCAGCACCTCCTTCTCGTTGTGGACGTGCTGCTCCTGCTTCAGTCGGATTACGTCGGGGATCTTCATCTGCTTCAGGGCGAAGAAGGCCCTGCTCTTCTTGTCCTTGACCAGGAAGACTCGGCCGAAGGTCCCCGTGCCTATGAAGGGGGTGAAGAAGAAGGTTGTATTTTAATGCATCTATTAATTACTATCATTCATATGAATCCTTTTATAATCAGTCATTACAGTTTCCAAAGTAATGACCTCCAATCTCTGACCAGCAGTCCAAAATCCAGTGAAACCTATTTTACAATATTGTAATAATAATAATGGACCCTTGCAATCAAAATGATTTAACCCTCCTTAACCAGCAGCACATTATAGATGACATGAATAAAACCTAATTACATCACATCAGTTAAAGCCTTGGTAAGCAATCAGTGCTACAAATACACTATTAAAAGCTCTACAATCAAAAGCGAACACACTTTTAGGGGCTGATATTCCTTTAATTTATATTAAGATGTTTTGGTTTCAATGCCAACGTGCCACCTTGTGACTTGGCATACTGTGTTAGATGAAAAACATGGGTTTGTTTTACAGGAAAATGTATTTAGGTCCTGGCACTTCTGCAGTGGATATCCAGCCACAATCATGTCGTCTCTGCAAACCTTCAGTGACAAGCAGGGAGCAAATTTGTCCACATTTTTTGAAAAACACACAAAGCTCACAAATGTGACAAAAAACACTGTAGCCTGATCAAATTGACAGCAGAATTGGTGTTCAGTGATGAGGTCAACTTGAAAAAGTGGCAGTTTTTTTGCACGGTTTGTTGTGCAGGATCGTGAAATGAAATCGAAGCAGACATCCTAATTCACAATTAATGAAGCAAATTAAGGAACATGTTTGACAGCTGACGAGTTCATTATTTCAGTTTGGACAGAATTAGGATGGTCTTTATTCAGCTCCATCGTGAACAATATGCTTAAAATGACAAGATGTTTTTGCTTGTAGTCGTCATTATGGTGTAAATGTTGATTAGATAATGTCACGGCAAGAGAATAACGACGCCATCTGTGTTTCGATCGGCTCCCGATACGTCTTGCTTTCATGATGCAGTTCTGTGTACCACCAGGTGAGACATTTTCTGAAAGGCTGGATTTATGACATGAAGAACAACCAGAGTAACTCTGAAAGCTCTACAAGGCAAAAGAAAAAAAGAGCTCCACTGCTGGAGGAGGCAAAACAACCACAGAGTTATTAATACAAGCAGGTGTTTTACATACAAGACTACAAAAGACAAGCATTGAAATGTTGCTTAATCAGGAAAACATACTTCAGTAAGAAAAGAAAAAGTCTCCAGTGATGATTATACTACAATAAAGTACATTATATCATTAGATTATAATTATGCATTAATGCAAAAGCAGAATTTTACTGTTGTAGAAAGCCTAACCTCCTACAGCTCAAAGAATAAAGAACTGCTAAAAAGGTCTGCTTGGCTGACCTGCTAAACGTACATGACTAGTTCAAAATGATGCAGTGCAACAACCGAGTGTGTGTTCTTCCACTCCCAATGAAAATGGGAGACCTTGTGTTTTGTCGGAGGTGAAAAAAAGGACAAGAGTCTGGTTTGGGTGCAATGGGATTAGTAGTGACAATACAACTCTTTCAGTCCAAATGGCGGCGTAGTCTAATGACTGGTGGCAGCAGACTGTCGTCAGGTCTTGTCTGTTACAGTGCTGGCCTGTCATCAGGTTTTACCACAATCGCTGCTTTGATCTGATCGCTGATTAAATTAAAAATGTGGTCCCTTGGCCCAGACTCCATCTGAAATGTTACTGCATGTAGCCTGGCTCTACATCCCACCTACAGCATTATCAGATTGGCTCCAAATCTTGAGGAAATGACCAATCAACACTGTGTTTTTGGAGGATGTGGGAAAAGATGGAACACAGAGAGAGGAGCGTCGGTGGGAGGTGCCGCAGATGTTGCTGAAGTCACCACATGAATCATTATGATCTATTTCAATGACGGTCGTACCAGAGTTCATTTTCACTGTGGGCGAATATTGCTCCGCTGAAAATGCCTGAACTTGTTATGTTTGGGTGTAGCACAAGCACACCGGCAGAATGAAGAGACGCCAGTAAGCAATTTTTCAGCAAGCCGCATTTAATAAAAGGGCAAAAGTGATAAGGGATTTCATTCAATGGAGGTGAAAGCAATGGCTTTTAAATCACTCACTTATCTCTCCCGCCTGAATTCCAGCATAGTGCACTTTGTTGCAGTAAAATATAGCCAACACTAATGTTGTTGTTCATGCAGCGAGATTCAGCCAACCAATGTTCATAGTATGGTAATGATGAATATTTACCAGACAGAGTGGAAATCGGCTTAAAAAAATCAATATGGCATCAGAGCATTTTCATGATATATTAATCTTTTAAAAGTTTAACTTTTGATACAACATAGATGATGAGTCATAAATCTGCTCAAAAAAAAAACAACAAAACTTAGAAGATGACAACTTGTTTATCTCCTAACAGAAAAAACTCCATATTCTGTCTCACACACATATCTATACACCATAATCAAATACAGTTAAAATATACTGTTTACGTTTTTAAAAAATAAAAATACATATATATATACATACACATATATATGGCAAGCCGTTTAGGAAAATTATATATATATATATATAATGAAAGTCCGAATATATGAAATGAAAGTCCGAATATATTGAATGAAAGTCTGAATATATGGAACAAAAGTCTGAATATATGGAACGAAAGTCTGAATATATGGAACGAAAGTCTGAATATATGGAATGAAAGTCTGAATATATGGAATGAAAGTCTGAATATATGGAATAAAAGTCTGAATATATGGAACGAAAGTCTGAATATATGGAATGAAAGTCTGAATATATGGAATGAAAGTCTGAATATAT